GTCGACGAAATGATGTTTGACAAGAAAGAATAGGGGAAATGCTTTTTAACGTAAAGCAAATACCAACGGCGAATCTGTTATCGCAATAAACCAAATTTTTGTTTCTTACTTACTTTATATCAAAACATACTTACTGTCAATACACTGATATTTCACAACAGAGAAGTTAAGAGCAGCTGATCGTCGTGGAGCAGGATACCCACACAGAGTCGCTGTTGAACATTGGTTGAAGATGGAGACCAGTTCGATGTTGCTGAATCTGTAATATCCACGCTCTGTGACATTGTCCGGATTCACAGTGCCGCATTCAGTGATACCTGCCTGTCCACACTCTATATTGTCTGTGTAGTAGGCGTCATAGATGGCGATCGTGCGGTTGCGTCTGCATCTGATGTTATGCTGAGTGCAGGATAGACCAGGGCTTCCAAAACATGCTTTACTTGTCTTTGTTGCATCTACATGAACGACACCTCACATGACGAATGTATGAACATTTACGAGGAACGTTGTTTGAAAGTGGTATTTATGAGTACTAGAACACTGCCCACATTGTTCATAACATAATAATTTTCGCAAGTATACTGACACATTGTGGACGATAGGAATAACGTAGTGGTCGGAAAGGACATACGGATATGATGTATATTGTACGTTAGGTCTGTGATATCTTTTGTACCATTACCCAATATGCAAATGAGTTCGCACCATACATAAGTGCAATACCTCCGTTTCTTAACATGTTATTAGCTTAGGGGACGGTAAGACTGGTAGCGACAATGTCGACTAAAACGACTCGTAGTAAAAAGTAAAGATCGTAAGGACTTTTTTTGTGTTCATCTCGTATTCAGCGAGATTCTCACGTGAATGTTTAGGCACCATAAATTCATCAAGTGAGGAAGATACGCCAGCAAAAGGAATGCATAGGTCGGTTTGGATTCACAGATGGATTCTCGGGCTTAAATACGGCTTGCGCGTACGTTCAGCTGCTTCAGGAGGTAGGACAAGAAAACCTCAGGTCAACAAATGTCTAATATAATAACTTGTGATTCATATTAAGTGAACACAATGTGTCGGGCGCAGATAGACCTCTTATAGGCTCAGGTCACCCACAACTATAACACCACCACCACCACCACGATCAGAACTAAGCGCCCTCTTTGGTCAAGTGCTTGCGACTTGATACACGAATTATAGGACATGTCCAGTGTCTTAACAGGGGTGCAAATCGTGTTTGTGATCTGACGTGTGTTCCATGGGGTGCTGCACAGTAAGACAATTTAGGGGCTCCATCATATGTTGCACAGTATGTCAATTCAGGATTCACGATCAGGATGGCTTCCCCCTTATCCACATGAGGGATAACGATGGAACAAAAGAACATTAGCAAGGACCTACAAGTATGGATTTACTCTGAAGTTTGACGTCGTGGGTCCTCAACTGGCACAAGAGCATTGATAATCTTGAAATTACAACACATTCAATACATTCTCAAATTTGGCCTATCGACCCCTTCATCCGCGCCCCAAATACTCGGACGTAACATCCATTACACTGCGAATACTATGCTTAATGCCATGTTGTGTATTCAGAACTATACATTTGATCAACTGAAAACCCCAAACCATACACGTAAAGCATATTACGCAAATGAACGAAAAGATTACACAAATATAGTCATTATAACAGAAAATTAGGTTTAATGTGGTCACGAATATAGTGAGATGTATTACGTAATCGCCTGCCATTGATTACTCATTTAGCCTGGCGTTATAATTATTTAAAGTCCACCCAAAGACAGAATAGATCACTGCTTGTGTTCAATGGGTAGAACGTGTTAATACTTCTGAAGTGACATACATGTATACTCACTCACCAGTTTTGCTGCGTCTTTCCATGTTAGATATCAGCGACACTGACACACACACTTCCCTGTCTTTCTACCAGGTATCCCTTTGCTGTTGTGTGAGCTTGTACATATTCCGAACAGCTCACACCGCGCGGCACGGTTCCCTATCTACCAGCTTTCCGCGACCTAAATTGGTGAATTTCGAGTTTGTTTTGACTTTTGTGTTGTACACTGGGTCACGTGTCTCCACACACTCTATGCTAGTAATAGTCATCAACATATGCCGTTGAGGCCTTATCTGAAATACATTCAGGTTGTCAACAAGGAACTAAAGTACTGTCGGAAATGCTAGAAAAATGCTTTTTAGCCTTAATACTTTGATAAAGGTGATAAATGTACTATGGTGTCAATATATCAACTCGCCTATAGTGTACCTAGTTTTCATTTCAATCGATTTAACATTCCCATGCATTTAAAGGGCAGTTTTCAGGAGAGAATATGGTACCAAAACAGCAATTAAGATTTTGTCAGAGTTCAACAACAGAAATCTGAAATAGTCTTTACATTTATGCTAATAATGCAGGTAGTGTAAAAATATGAATCAACGTTTTTCTTTAACAAATAAATGTTGAATGTTTGTGTTACTTTACTTAATAATCGTTTCTTTATTGAAACATAAATTAATATAACTGTTAAGTCTTGATAAATAAGTTTCCCGTCATGCATGCACATCTTTATCACAGCGTCCACTATGGCCAACTATTTGCAGTCAAATGTTGCAATGGTTTATAAGTTTTTTTGTGCTTGAAAAAGACAAAGGTAAATCTTTCATTAGTTTAGAAAGGGTTTATTACAGAACTTGTAGAGCTGTTGCTATGTCTTACCAACAAGTTTACAGTATTGTAAGCAAATCAGACAAGACAGAGACCGTCTCAAAAGCAAAACCGGGACGTAAAACCTTCCTTGACAACTTTGACAAGGGAGTACTTAGACGGGCGGTCTACAAACTTTATGAGAAGAAGAATATATATATTCTAAAGAAGCTACACCAGTGACTTCGTTAAGTCTTTGGCTAATGCTCACAACTAGAATAAATTGACTGAATTACATCCATATTTTTGCAATGAAATATACTGTTGACATGCAAATCATTTATTAAAACTTTGCACATTTCTACAATCAATCGATAAGATAACACAAGTGATAGGAATCTTTCCAATGTACAGTAATTCGTATGTTTATTTCAAAACAAACACACATACACAAATGATCCCTTACATAACCAATACGTATACTATACGTACACATATTCAACATTTTGAAGAAAACATCTATTGAGATGACCCCTTCCCCCGAGCGTGTGCTCAGGTGTCAATTTCACCTGTCGATACCGTGCATGCTGATGACGTAACACGGGCAGTTAATGTTTGTATCAAATAACGACTCACTACCCGTTACTTTTATAAGTTTTTGGTATTTTCATCAGTAAAAACACATTTTAGGGCATGTCTCAAAATTTATTTCCTCGGTCTACATTAGGTAGATGTTTCTTAAAGTGATATTTGTTATTTATGTAACTGTAATGCCTCAAAATGTTAAATATAAGTCAAAAAGCATTTTTCTAGCATTTGCGACAGTGCTTTAGTGAGGCATTTATGAAGGCTAGATTGGTATAGTACAACATTGCCGCCTCACTTATAAAATCTCCGCGAAGCAAAGCAAGTTATCCGCGAAGAAGTTGTGAATCTTTCTTTCTACCTCTGTACACGACCACATTGCATGGTAATGTGAAACTACTGCACTTACTAATGAAGGAAAATACCGTCACGTACTTTGAGATCTAATGTCACAGGATACCTGGACAGCAGTGGTCACACAGATAGGTCGTATTATATGTAGTTAACATCGACGACAAAGACAAACATTCCCATTAAATGTATCTACAACACATTCTTCTTTGTTGAAGAGAGGAACAGGACGTTAAGAAGTCTGTTCTTACATCAACCAGGTGAAATATGTTTCACTTACACACCATTGTTACAACTACATACACAGACAAACATCAGTAGTCGACTTAGTGGTGGCTCGCCCTGTTAAAAAGTGGACAAACGTTTATTTTTTCCTTGACCGGCAGAGGTTTAAGTACAAGCGAACAACACAAAACCCCAAAATATATAATCTTGTATATGGAATAAATATATGTCATGAGCATATTTCATGCGATATTTATATAACGTTCAGCATATTTTGTCACATCCGACGAGTGACGTTTATCGTGACAGGTCAAAATGTCCGGTAAATACTAGTAGGCCATGGACATTTCCTTTTGTCTTTTGAGTACAAATATTACTGCAAGAGAAGTTACTGAAAGAAACTCTTGTTTATTGTATAACTGAATATAGCTTGCTGTACAAAGTTTGAATGGAAGACTGAATTTGGTTTTACCCCATTTATGATAATATTCAGGCCATATCAAGACATCGAGTCTTCGAGCATAACAAAACTAACGACCAGACTACTTCATATCATTTACAGGAAAGAACACAGGGCATCAGTTGTAAAAGTGCATCATCATTAAGCTATTTGGCAACCAATCCTTATCTCTCAACTTTTAACTATACGGGGTCGTGGTTTGCGAGCTGTCTTGGCCGCTAGGCTAGTGATCCAGCGAGCTTGGAGGTGCCGGGATCGAGCCCACCTCCGGGCGTAAAAACTTTGGAGTCAACTTTGCTTACAGACTGTTTCAGTGTCACAACTCTTAGTGTACAGTACACAACCCTGTGCACTTAAAAGAACCCACGGATATTTGGTATATGACCAGATGGTGGCCACATGAATGCGTGCAAACACCTAGGTGCAGGTACAGCAACGTGCATTAAACTTAGACAAAGTACTGTGACTGTTTGTCCCAGTCCACCCAGCTGTGAATGGGGACCATGAACTCAGTGCGCCTAGTGACAGCAAGAGTTGTATGGTTCCCCAGGGCGTTGAGATTGATAATATGATGTGCCGCTGAATTGCCATCCAATTGATTTGGGGAAAAACAAAGAAGCGCTTTGAGCATGCGTGTGGGATGGACTATAGCGCTATTTAAAATTCCAAATATAATAATCATATACACATGCTGGTTATTTCTCATTAAGAAAACGCGACCTGATATACCCAGTCTTGATATACTTGACATGTTTAATCCGTTTCATCATGATGTTGCAAGAAGATCATCCACAATGACATACATGTACTACAATGCTTTGTATATGTTTTGAATACTGACGTTCTAAAGTTATAACATTCATGTGTCTCACATCCTTGTTAGCAAAGTTGAAAGTAGTCAGTGGAACGTTTTGGCCGTAGATCGTATAATCTTACCAGAATGTGCACAAAACGAACTCATCTTTCCGAGAACCATCTTTATCGACGAAGGAAGAGAGATAACTCTACATGCAAATTCTGCATTGTACAAGATTAGTATTCACAGGATAGATTTATATCCGTCACTGTATGACTGAGGGCTGTATGTTTCATACTATTTACACATATAACGATAAATATTGAACATTCAGGTATGGGAAGCTAAGTCGGTTCAAGTAAGCTTTCAGCAGATTCCTGGCTGTTGAAAAATGATGGATGCTTTTGACAGAATCTGACCCTGAAGTTTCACTATCTATTAACTGTTGATGTACATAAAGTATGGAGCATATCTCAAATCTTAACCAAAACTATATCAAGTGATTGTTTTCTTCTGTCATGATTAGGCCTCGTAGTGAGATTGTCCAATCAGCGAGCAGAACTACTGACCTATCATATAACCAGTAAAAATCTAAGATGGGTATCACGGACCTCAAAGTAGACCCTGTATCGTCTGTAACAGCCATCTTGAATTTTCCTACACCCCCTTCACTCATTTCACATGAAAAGTCTGGTATATATATTTGTTATTTGGTACTGTTTTCTATCAGGAATAATTCCGAGTTAGGAAATTAATTGAAAATAATCAAGTTCAAGATTTCATTAAAAGGATTAAATTAAACATTTCAACAACGTTTAATGAGTTGTAAAATCAAAGACTGGACTCAACCCAAAAATGTACCCCAATCTCTACTTTACTAACAATGTGTAATCGTAAATATCCCAAGCACTGAAGGTATCATGTTTCAACCTAAAAAGTAATAAAATCTCTAGTTTCCGGAGAAGGTGTAAATATAACAAGCGTTGAACATATGATGTACACTTAGTTATCCGCCTGGCAGCATGTTTTAATTGTTTTTGTTGGTTATTTTTATTGACGTACACATCAATTTTCCTAACATTCAAACATGAATAAAATCAAAAGTATGAATATTTATGAAATTGTTCTAATTGTTGTGACCTGTGTACGCTTAAACACGATCCACTCTTATCATGAGCATCTTACCTTTCAAATCAATAAAGAAAACCTATTTCAGTATTCCTCATATAAAGTCCTCTAAAGGAGACGATGTACGTGAATGTTGTAAGCTAAATACAGGAGCTGGTGGTGAAGAATTGAAAACGTACTGAAACCATAGAACTCAACATTCAAAATATAGTACCCACAAGCACTAAAATGGAACCTGGAAACAGTTGCCACAACGTGTATTACATAATCTGTGTTTTTATGTACTATTTTTAAATATGAAGACAAACTAAGTTTGAAAACCCGAAACAAACCGATGAATGAGAGTTGCATAATTCTGCCAAATATTCATTTTAAGCTGTAAACATAGTTGTGTAAACAGTAATGGTGCTGAATTGGTATTTGCAGTGTATTATGTATTTACTCCATGTAAATTCATTAATTATTATCAAAGAGGCATAACTGATAATAGTGGAAATGCCAACCTGATAAAATCGTTTCAAGGAAGGATTAATCATTCCGTCTGTGAGTGACCAATATCTCAGCATATGTCCATATAACTCGATGGTGCTGGCAAACCAAAAATCATAAATAAACCAGTCTGAAATTGTGATAAATTTCAGTGCAATCTACCGCACCTTATATGAATAGGCCATCTGTTTCTCGCCTTTCTTGTGATAATGTTGAACACTGATACGAAAAAGCATTTGACTGGAAACATTCTTTGGCACCTCAACTAAGGACAGGTATGAAGTACGGAGTGTGCAGTCGTTCAGGTACATGTATATGTACAGTACGACAAGAACACGCATACACATTCCAATTTCGGGATATGCTTATTTCATTTGCCCTGCAACAGAATAATCAGGGTTATCCTCTACTCCAGATGTAGAATCATACGGCGAGCTAACAGTCTCAGAAGCATTGGTTCCCCTATGACAATGGTCATAGTCGTCTTCATCTGTGTTCTTTTCGGCCAAACTGAGTTGGGCAACTGCCTGGTTTGCAGAGGCAGCAGTGTCGTAGTCATTCTGTTGTGTCTGAGTGTTGGCTTTCTTTTGGAAGTGATTGTAACCATAACCATCTTCTCCAGTATTTCCTGGTTGAGCCACCGAGGCTGTTGTATCGTAGTCACTGGTCTGTTGGGATGTCTTGTCTCCAATGTGATCATACACGCCTTCAGCTGCAGAGGGTGTTGAATTGTCGTTTGCAGTTAGCTTCCCAGCAGGTTCGATGGTGAAGTAAGTGTTTGTAGTTGGAGGAAGACCCATGTCGTCCGCGGTAGCGTAGTCATAGTCACTGTTGTGTGTCTTCAGGTCCTGGATTTCATGGTAGTTTTCCTGTGAGATCTTACCGGCTAAACTGTAGGTCATGCCAGACTTTGCATCCTTCGGAAGTGATGCAGTCTTCTCCTTCCCTTCGCTTTTCGCTCGTCTGGAAGTTAATGTACAGACACAGGTAGCCTTAACACTAATAGAGGTATATATAGTAGCGTTATGAACATACTTCATTGCAATCTTAATGCAAGTAATCAATATAAATCTCTAAGGGTTATTCATGAACTATTCAGTGATGTTCCAAACCTTTGAAAGCTACCATGGTAACCCAAGTTGGAGCATGCGTGTTGACAGTTTGTCAGTATCACATGTTGTAAATTCGATAATACAAGTCAACACTACAGACATACAAAATGGACTAATTAAATACTTACCTGTGCCGTATGATCCACACTGACACCAATGTGACAACCAGTACAACTGCGACTGTGGCCACAACTCCTCCAGCTATTGCACCAGCGTTACTTTCTGCCTGTCCTGAGATCAAATCAATCATTGTTTCAGTACATGTGACGTATTGTTATATACATAGGCGAACAAACAATTAAGTTGTGAATGGATAAATTAAGGGTGGGCGATTAAGGTCACCAATAAAAATTATCAGTTACCCATGCTTGCTGTAAGAGAGGCGTCTAACACTACTAGTTGATACATATATCATACATGCTTAGATCAAGTTGTGACGTTAATCACTGGATCGCGCGGGTTAGACTATTGGTCGCCACCTAGCTGAAACTGGTGAGTACGCGTACAGCTTCAAACAAATTCTGATAGATTACCGGGCACCCATGATTATCAAAAGTACAGATCGGAACTTATGCCCTGCAAATAAATATATGGTCTTGATTTTAATCACTGGATTGTTTTAGAATGTAACTAGTTATTTGTTTGAATTGTATTGTGTAAGTCAACAAACAATAATTAATTGCATTTACGTGTGTGTGAGGTGATATATATGAAACTCACATGACATAAATCAGGCATGATTTTACACGTTGTCTTTTGCGTTTACTAGTATTCCATTTCTGCAGTTACAGCTGTCAAAATGTTCCCTCTTAATATCAAATTGAACCTGAATGTATTGCAAGATACAGATATGTATGAATGCAACTAAGTTTGACGAAAATCATAATGATGTGAATGTATTAATTAGAGGCCTTTGGGAACAAAGCCGGCAAGTAAGATATTGATCTTTCAGTGACGTTCCTAAAATTAAAATCATCATTGGCAATTAGATCTGACATCTTAAGTGTGAATTTATCCTTAGTTACTTGACTGAAGATATGCATGGCACTGTTTTGGGTGATATTGACCGCCTTCACATAGCTTGAAATTAGCTGAGTGCAGCGTTTAACTAACAAAAAACTAACAAACCTGATGGTATGCTGTCATTTGTCGTGGAATCATGGCTGTATGTTGTTCTTGTGTTTGTACCTGTTTGATCAATATACACGTGTTGGACTCATTGAGGTTAAGATGGCAATGAAACATCCCAGAAGTGATCGGACAAGAAATATACATGTAATTGTACAATAGTTATAATGGAAGTATTTCGTGGCTGTCTACCTGTGCTTGTGAGTGCGCCAGTTTCACATGTCCCATTAAATGACAAAGTAACTCAAGCATAATATCATACAGTTTTGTCATCATACAATTAAGCATCCGTAATACATCAATAAGATGGAACTAAACGAAAAATACACGCAAGATAAGGTATTCTTAATCACGATTCACCATGGTACTTTTCATTTGTTTACGTAAGGACTGGTGATTTCTCATTCTACTATTGAACATACAGGTACATGTACTACATGATATTTACTGAAATTACTTATACAATGTGTATACAATAGCATGTCTATTGTCCGCCATTCGTACCTTTGATCAAAAGCCAAATTGATGACTGCTTTCGGATATCTTTGAATCGGATATGTAGAGGGAGTTCAGTTGTTACGTTGAGTCTCTCAAACGGTTTGAACACTGTTGAACAATTATTCGTTGTGATGACATTCCCATGTCGGACAGACAACTGTGATAAACATTTCCGTCTATTTCCTCGATTCAGTCTCACATCAAGAGCATATATCCTTGTGGCAGTGTCATCAGACTTGAAACTGCACACGTAAGTGTCGTTTCGTTTTGAGCAATTGGGCATCAGTTGGTTTCCATGGTTAATCGCGGCTTGAGATAACTCTACAACACCTTCGCTGATGTTCAGGGAATCACCTTCTGAAACATTTATAGTATCAGACATTATATACGAGGCGATAAATCTACCTACCTTGAATATAGAAATCCTCAAAATTTCGTTATGAAACTAGGAGAAATATCAGGATTGCCGGATGATAATTTCTACCTTTCTGATGAGATAATGATTGCTTTATGTGTACATAGGTGCCGTGTCCACACATGATTATTCCTTAGAACTCCAGTTAAAACATATTTGATTCTTTATGCTGGTGTTGGCACATGACATTATTTAATTTAATGAAGATATATACAATAACACGTGTTGAACGTGACCGTGGTATTATTATCTCTCGCAGGTAGAGGCAGAAATTCAAATCTATAACAAAGCCTGCAAATGTATCTAAACAAACAGCATGCGACTAATTTGACATCTGGTAAAACACAGAAGCGGAACGCGTTTAGTTTCATTATTCTCAATAATTACTAGGGTTAACCGTGAATGCTTTGCTATAACATGTTTCACAGTTTTAAGTCTCTAGAGTGGTGATTTTTCTTCAGTTGTTGGCGATCCTCAGCCTTATTTTATATTGTATTGTCCTAATTGGAATCATATTTAGAGATATACGCTAGTTTTATTTTCTATTACTGTGATATACTAGTTGGTTTTACTGTCCTTCGTCGACAGGTTTTTAAAATTTGTGCATTTGTCATGAATTTATAACTATCTTAAGTCACGATATGGCTGACATACTGCCGCTGTGACTATAAACTTGAACTCACTCACGCACAGTTTTAGTGTGTGCTCAGGTTTACATGCCGTTGTGTCACTCAAAAGTAAAGTGTACTGAACATATATTTTAACCAGAACATATATTTAAGACAGATGATTATATTTCGATATCAGTGTTTTATCACAATTAGGTTATAAGTTGCTTCATTGCCATATACGATGTACGTATGTATGGCACACTATCATACATAAACTAGGAAATACATTTTCATTGTAATATTGATTGGTGTTTCTCATAATAAAGAAGCTGACATCCACACAAACTCTCTTCCTCATCTGACATATTTCTGATTTCCGAGATTTCTGGCATAGGTGAGATTGAGCTTATATCCACTTTGAATTTGTTTCAGTATTGAGGATCCACAATACCAGTTCCTCATAATGTGTTGTTTTCCTCATAATAAATATGTTGACATCCATAAAACACTCTCTTCCTTATGTGCATCACTTCTAAATGCCACCAAAAGACCCAATATGTCAGAGTTTGCTTCATATTACATTGCTCATAACCAGTGTTTACCTTTTGGCTCGATTTGTCTCCAGTGCCACATATGCATGCACACAAACCCATGCACGATCGCAGAAAAAATACAAAGAGCACACTGACCACGGAATAGGTTTGCTCTTCTGGGATTATTTTCTCCAAGTAAGACCAACAATGTACAAAAATTCTTGAAAGTATTTCTTTCAATCAGGTATGCCTTAACTATTCCCATTTGTGCCTAAAATAACACACTTCCATTCACCATTTTGATGTTGTGATTCCATTTATTACAATCAAGGAGTTCCTGAGCAATGTGGTGTCTGCTGTCATTTCATGCCCATCGCCCAGGTGACTACTGACGTGTCTCCTTTAATAACAGTTGTATATTCATGTTCGCACACAAACCCGCAATTGAAACAAATGTGACGTAAAATGTTATGTAAGATACTAAAAATGTAACCATGTTTCACACAAGGAGGTTCAAACGTAATACGCTATTGACAAATACACACTAATTTTGCATATTTGTCACTGACAAAAAAAATCGGCTGTTAGTAGGAGGGAGAGCGTAATAATGTAATAAATCAAACACCAATGTCATGTCGGATGTGATCACTAAGGATGGCGTTGATGTAGCGACTGCATGCGCACTGAAGACACCCTGTGTTTCAAAACAGTCCGGAGAATGTTGTCCCTGTAGCCTGTGCTAAGCAACCTGTTATGGCTCCTGTATTCCGCCGTCAGTCCCAGAGAAGTACTGTAGCAACCAATATCCCTAGATAGTGAGGTGGAAGCAAAACCGAGGGTATCGTTATAGAATGATGTAATGCTCCCTCAAAAGCTTACATACGGTTATCCACGAATCGGCCTCAACACTGTTATACGATCTGTTACATTGACATATCGATTCAAAGATGCACCAACTGAACATTTTCTTATTAATGTGCCGTCACACCTGGGCATCTAGTGGCAAATCGGGAGCGTTCCTCCGATCTACTCACGTCACAAGGCAACATTTATTGATTGTCAACAGTGAAGGCAATGATTGCATTTTGCCAGTGACTGCTTTGTGTTTACCTCACCAAATAACTTATTTCTCAAAAAGAAGTTAAAATTGTTAAACGAAATGTAAATGACGACAAAAACTTCGATATGAGTGGGTGAGTGAGTGAGTGAGTGAGTTCATATTTAACGTCACATCGGCAATATTTAAGCCATATCGTGACGAGAACATTTGATATGGGAATGAAATATATGTATATTATAAACAACTTGCGGACGAAGGACTGTAAAGCAACTAGAGTATCACAGATATACATGTAAAACTAGTAATTAAATCTAAAACGTTTTAACTATAGGGGACAGCACAATATGAAAATAGGCTATAGATCGCCAACAACTGAAGGTAGATCACCATACCAGGGACCATGGGGACTAACTGTACCTTTGCTACCCCCAAGTACCCTAGATGGATTGACACCATCCCTTCAGCTGCTGGCGATTGTGAGAAATGTTAGCCAAAATTAAAATGACAAGAATACTACGTTTAAAAATCCTGGCAAGTTTAAATTGACTTAGAAAGTTTTGGGACTTACATTCCCTCTCAGGAGGACCCTCTCACTAACAATCTCAGTTACTAATATAAACTACCAACAATAAAATATTTAGCTATTTACAGATCAGTCAACAAATCTAATTCTGTTAAAAATTCAATGATTACATGATAATTAACATTATAAAAAAGATCCTTCAATGTTTTGACATTGAAATACTTATCCCTTGTCTTTCATCACAAGGGATACAAAACGGAGGATCCTCACCTTTCAATAGGTACACATGAGTGTATCTAGTGTGGCCAATACGACATCATCGTATGATGACATCTTCAAATCTGGACTGACAACTCAAGTAAGTGTAACCGATATAGGGTTTTATTTCATGTAATTTATTGATACCTACTTGGGTGTCCCAATTCTTCTGCATCAGATCACGGATGTAAGTTCTAATGCAAGCTTTGTAATCAGAGTAAGGAATAAGAAGTGGTGTCACAGATTTGTTGAGTGCTGCCTTGGCAGCAAGATCGGCCATTGTATTCCCAGAAATGCCAACGTGGCTGGGTAACCAACAGAAGACGATGTCGCATTGGCCAGTAGCAAGATCATTATATAATTCAATAATTTCTATTAAAAGGGGATGTTTGCAAGAGAGATTTTTAATAGCCTGAAGGCAAGAAAGGGAGTCAGAAAATATTATATATTGTTTATGTTTGGGATGTCTTTGAATATATTTAAGAGATTTTAAGATCGCGTTTGCTTCTGCTGTAAATATAGAGCTGTTATCAGGTAGTCTAGAAGATATTGTTCTGGATCCAATGACAGTGGCACATGCAACTTCGCCACCGTCCTTGGACCCATCTGTAAATAAGGATTTGTATGTATTATATTTGATTTTTAACTGATTATATTCTTGTTTATATTGTAATTCATTAGTTTCAGATTTCTTAAACTTTGTCAGAGTTAGATCAACTTCAGGCCTCACCAGTTGCCAAGGAGGAGAAGAAAGAAGACGGGAAGGAGATATATTTTCCAGCTCAATGCCGGCAGCAGAAAGAAATGGTTGAATTCTTAAACCAAGAGGCGGAACAAGAGAAGGCTTTTTGTTGTACAACTCTTCATAAGACGGATTGAAAACACAGTTAAATACAGGATTAGACTTGTTAGAATAGAGTTTTGTTAAATACTGTAAAGATAGTTTGATACGACGTTGGGTAAGGGATGGCTCATCGGCCTCAACATAGAGACTATCAATAGGAGAGGTTCTCAAAGAGGCCTTGGTGGTGGACAGCTTTTGCAGGCTCCACCATATACGATGGAGCCATAATCAAGCTTCGAGCGGACAAGTGATCTGTAAAGGTGTAGGAGCATAGCTTGATCCCCTCCCCACCTTGAATTAGACACGACTTTCAATAAATCGAGTGCCTTCAGGCATTTAGTTTTTAGAGATTTGATATGCGGAAGAAAATGAGACCCAAGAACTTGGCCTCTTTTACAACCTTGATGGGAGTGCCATTTAAAAACAGTTCTTGGTCTTTATGTGGTTTATATTTACGGCAGAAATGTATACAATTAGTTTTTTGATTTAGAAAATTTAAAGCCGTTTGCAAGACACCATTTATGTATTTTATTTAAACTCAACTGTAGTTGCCGTTCAATGGTATGCACTTCGATATGAACATGCATACTGTCCACATACAAATGAATTCAACATGGTCATTGTGGTGACAACCTTCTGAACACGTTATCGTGAGACACGATTTTTCTTCTATTAAAACAGTAATAGAGAAATCCAGGTTTTCAGTCTAAACTACACTGTACCCTTACCTTCAATACACTGATATTTAGGAGATTCGGTCTAACATTCATCTAATTTCAAAACACAGTATGTTTATCTCCATTCTATCATAACCGATTTAACATCGAACTTCCTCGTCCTGTGGAAGACACTGCGTAATCCGGCATGGGATGAGAAACGAATTGAACTCGTCTGATACAGGAGTGGTAGGTTACGTTCGTATTATTTTTTTTTTTAATTCTGTCCAAAGAAAACAAACTACTGTTTATTCAATGCAATGATGTAACACCTAAAAGCTTGGTTTCTATAATCATAACTCCATAAGACCGAAACCAGCCTATTGTTTTGTGTGCCGTATTACTGTACCCCCCTGGCTACACTATAATGGAATCGTCTGACCTACTTATTTTCTTGGAAGTAGACAGTTACGCAACAGTTTGAAATGGCGGACGAGCCAGTGTTTACATTTTGCGAATGGTTGAAATTCGAAGTGACAGTGGAAAGTACTTGACTGACTGTCGAATCTGAACCCTGCAGAATCGAAGAATAGATCATTTTCTGATCGACCTATAACCTGTAACTCATCAAAGACTGTTGATTTTTATGACCGGCGAGTGTCGATCATGATTTCACGTACGTGCCTCCACCCCGGCATGCGAGGAAGAGTGACAGTGCAGCTTTGTGTACATGTGACTAACTTGGGATTACTTGGAACATTGTTCTCATCATTTTGGACTGGATTATGGCCAAGCTTTTCAAAGTGTACGAACATAGCAGTGACAGCCTTCGGGGAAGGTGGCAGAGAACTGAATTCTCATGGTTCAATTTTTGACATTTTGAACGATGCAATGGGACATGATGAAGTATGGGTGGCAAATTTTGTGTTTCACCTGACCGTTATCTTGCGAATTTCCCATTCTAAACGGAAATAAATATACCATTTACCAGGTAGGTAAATGTTTACGAACGTTTTGCCGCACATATAGGGATAGATAGGGATGTCTTTTTACAAGGTTTTCTGATTTATATGTTAGATATTGTTTGTTTATGTTTGGGGCTGTGTATTGTAATTGAGTTTGAATATTTTTAGAATAGAAGGTAATAATTATGATAGTGAGGTCCCCTAATAATGTTTGTGGCCAAGCTGAAGTAGTGCGCCAGTGTTGTTTACGTGCGCAGTGAAGCGCCATGAAATCAGACGCATTGTCAATCCAAATTGATACCTTCTAATTTTATGGCTTGACCAATCAAATTCGAGCATTTCACGTAGCCATGGTAGAATTTACAACAGAGAATGTACGAATTGCACCCCGCCGAGTACCCTGAAACACACAGGGAGACCAGCTCGGTGTGGTTGAATCTGTGATATCCATGTTCTGTTACATCGTCCGCACTGAAATTGCCGCAGCTGGAGAGGCCTGTCTGTGTACACTCGGTGTTGTTAGTGTAGTAGGCGTCATAGATGGCGATTTTCTGTGTGGAGTTGCAGCTCTTGTCATGTCGAGTACAGACGAGTCCATCGGTTCCATGGCAAGACCTTATGTTGCTTGCCCTACATCATGGGTGCAAATTTACTCAGTTTACTTCAGAGCACTGGAACCTCAGTTAAAATATAGAAGCCTCTAAAATACGTCCGTAGCCATACAGAAAAGAGGGCACTTGCCCTTGAAAAGGGATAAACACAAAGCAAAATGACATTGACAATGACGATGGCGATGAAGTACAGTGTTGGTTAGTACAGATTTTCTTTAATCATAATATTTGGGTTTTCCTTGTCCTTGAGAGTCTTCACTGTAGACGTCATATGGAAGTTCCTCCGTTAAGATAGCATTTTCTTAAATGAAATAACTAGAACTGTCTTTTAAGGGTCTGCAGTACTCTTGAAGCGTTTGTTCTACAACTGTCCGAAGTTTCGTAAACAAAGAGCTCAATGACATTATTTTGTTGCTCCGTGGACAAACTTTAGCCATCCACAGTCACATTTAGTCTTTCGTTCACGTGCGTTACGTATGTTCTTGATTTCCAAGTAATTATACACATTGTCGTGTCCAGCACCTGTGATGAGTTGCTGCGTGCTAAACAGCTTACCGACGATACAACATCTTCCTCCTAACAATCTGAGCTTGTCTTTATCTGCGTCAACGTCTTGCTTATCAAACGCACTCCTTTTATGGAAACTATAAATTAGCAGAACTTGTCATCCACATCCAGAGAACACCTGAGTGCAGCTGGCGGTTTTTGATAAAGCGAATTTTCGTGTTCGCTTCTGTAATACAACGCGTATTGAGTGCATTGGACATTAGATGATCTGACTAACTACAAAAATAAGAATAAGGTATTTTTCATTTCGAAGCTCGAAGTGATATAGAACAAAATTTCAGCATGCTCATGCTCGTTATCATCAAAAAGTTTAATTTGTATCCGCAGCTGCGGCGTTTAAATATCATAGTATTAACGGTATCACCTTTCAAAGTAAAGCAGTGTTGCCCAGTGCAGGTGCAAAACGAATCTGTTACACTACGATTAATGCGAGGCCGCTTGTAACTTTTAACATATCTTAAATGGAAAGTAAAATAACACCAAACGTTATTTTAGAAACATACATATGTTGCTTCAAAACACTTCATACCAAAGGAAAAAATGTTAGATGAATGTTATCCTTCAGGATAGTGTTACTCTGAGATTTCCCTTTACATAAAGTATTAGCTTACTGCCTTTCAACATCACGTTCCCGATACAAACAATCCCGATTTAACTATGCTGAATGATTTTATTTCTTGTTGATGTCATGACCACAATGTGTGCTGGTGAAGTTGAAGCAGAAGACACCAGATGTTTGAAAACAGCCTGGCGAATGTTGTTCGAAGTGTCAGTCACATCTTCGTCTAACCGAGATTGCGTTTCCGGCTAGTTACGGTGCTGTAGTCGGCGTCGTTTCGTTTCACCCAGACATATTGTTTGTTTGAGAAGGCTGAAGAGAAGGCAGGCAGCTGAACAGTCTAATGCTGCATCAAAACGCCTGTAACATCACGTGCAACGAGTAGGTTTGCATTATCATGTGGTAACGGGAGGTTACGTGTCTTCATTTCTACAAAGGATAGAACATGATCTTTGATGGTGCGACTTGCTATGGTTCCTGTATTCGTCCGTCCGCTCCAGAGAGAGTTGCTATGAGAACCAATACTTGTACTCCTCTAGCCCCAAACTGAAGACGCTGACAGCACGAAGCATCATTAGACCCCTTGCACCCCAGTCAGATCAGTTAAGATATGTAAACAGATAGTGTCACTGTCTTGTCTTCTGAATTACTGCCCTCTGTCCATGTGGAAGCAAAACTGAGGGCAATCGTTATGGAATGATGTATTGCCCATCAAACGCTTATCCACTAGTCGGTCGCAACGCTGGTATCCGAACATTTTATTACCACACCATGACATCTAGTCGTGTGTGTTGCTCCGCTGAATTCTAAAATCTGAAGAAGGCAACGATTGCATCTTGACGGAAAACGGAATACGAACAGCGACTCACTGTAATGTGTTTATCTCACCAATAAGAAGTTTCAAATTGGTAAATGAATGAAAATAACGGCATGCATACTGCCAACATACAAATGAATCCATCGTGGTCACTGTGGTTGCCACAGCCTTCTGAACACGTTATCGTGAGGTAAGATAATTCTTCTATCAAAACAGTAATAGCGAAACATATGTTTTTTAGTCTAAATTGCACTTTACACTTACCTTCAATGCACTGATATTTTACAACAGAGAATGTACGAGTTACATTCCGCCGGGGACCTGGAAACACACACTGACTCTTTGTTGAACATTTTTTGTAGAGGGAGAACATCTCGGTGTAGTTGAATCTGTCATATTCATGTTCTGTTACACCGTCCGCACTGTAATTGTCGCAGCTAGAGAGGCCTACTTGTGTGCACTTCGGGTTGTTAGTGTAGTAGTCAACGATGGCGATCTTCTGGGTAGAGTTGCAGCTGACATGATGCTGAGTACAGGATGGATCGGATCCATAGCAAGCCTTACTGAGGTATGTTGTACCTGCATAAACACAACACACACATACAGTCAAATCCCGATGAGTCGAATCGCTGGGGACCAAGTAAAAGATTAGGCTTATCGATGTATTCGAGACATAGGTATGTCTATGAGGGTAGAAAAAAAAGATGATTGAATATTGAACAATTCCTTTATTCAGGATAATAATGGATAATGGAAACAAACAGTATACAGATGAGAACACATTTCAATACTAGCACAATAAAATACAAAATACATGTACATTTACCTCTTAAAATCCATGAACAAAATCTATCGGCAATCGATAGATATACTTGTACATGCCGCCATCTTGAATGTTATTAATACAAAAAGATGAACTCACTTCTGGAAAAAGTCTGACATTAATGTTTGTTTCTGTGAATTTCCCTTACATTTATCCACAAATTCACGGACGCTTGCCAAGTGGGAAAAATGTTCGTTGTTTGTACCTGGGACCGACTCGAGAAATTCCTCCAGTCCTTCACAGAACCAAGTAGAAAGAGTGTTAGGTGGAATTTCAAACTCTCTCGCAATTTCACTCTTGGATTTGGTACCTGCCTCCACTGCAGTGATCGCTGCAAACTTCTTGTCAATAGTGTGCACTTTTAGAATGCGCTTACGTTTTGGAGTTGATGTTTCCGATCTGTTTATCACCCCAGATTGCTGGGAACATTGTAACTCCGCCATGATATACAGATCATGAATAGTAATAACCGAATGAAAGCTGCTAAATAACACAACCGATTTGATTGAGTTAACTCAATGTCATGTGCTAATTATTCCGTTTCCGTAAAATCACTAATCTGCCTTTTGAACTCGACCGACAATAGCGGAAAGGTGCGACCCGCGCTGGTTTGTTAATTGGATCAGTTAGTTTGATCACCAATTAACTTCTCATTGACTGACTTCGGCTTATGTATACAAGATTACTATTGTTTGAATCTCATGGGACCAAATTTCCATTTCGAGTAATCGTGTGTTTTTATGAGACGAATTCGTGTAACCGGAAATCAAATGATGACAAAAATAGCAGGGAATGGTCGGGACCGACAGGTACTTCGTGTTATGCATAATATTCGAGACACCGGCATTCGACTCATCGGAATTTGACTGTATGTACATGTGAACGTTATGCATATGGTATGCCATTTTTTTCCTTAACAAATTCGTTTACGTGTGTTCAGCTCATTTTAAATGAACCAGTAAAGATTGAGTAATTTTAAGGGTCGAGAGATCATGTGGATATGATATATATGTACATATGCATCATCGATACAGCCCAATTTACGATACCTTTTCACGTTTGAGGTTTTGAATGTTGTTTTATTAATATTTGTCTACCTCATCTTTGGTGTGAGTGATGGAATGCCGAGGGATGAAGAAGCATTACCAAGGGCCGAGGACGGATTACAACTTCAAAGGATGCCGACGTGATTTTAACTTATAAATCCTTATTCTTGTGCTAAAACTATCGTGTTGATGTTAGTAGAGATTATTAAAACTACAACTTGATATTTACTGTTGATACAGGATATAGGCTATGTTAAAGAGTACATCATGATCATCTTAACCTAGTTACATTTTCTTTTCACTCGACACACATTTAACTTTGGTGTATACCAATTGCAAGGCGGTGGTTCTTTGTTTGTTACTCACAAGAACAAAACGTCATTGTAGAATATTTGTTTTCGGCTCGTCTCATCAGGCATTTCTTTTTTTTTAAGGTTGTCATTCCAGATTTTGACTGAGCCTACATTAATGATCTACCACTATTTTTAATCTAGCTCATTCTATTCTCAACTATTATATATCATATCACATAGCAAGGATGAAGCTCGGAAAATGTTCTCAACGTGCAGCACCCGTGAACACACGTGCAGCTACACATATCGCAAATCGAAGCCATACTTTAATCCTAACTTGGAAAGTTACCCATTAAATGTGCTCTTTCCGCGGCATGTGTATACATTCATACAAAACATGCATATGATCAAATGCATAGCATGTAACACTATCACAGTGTTCATAATTATTCATAATTATCTTAGTTTGTGTACACAGAGCTCTGTCCTTTATTTCAGGTACTCACCAAGTATTCTCTTTCTCCATATAAATATATGTCTCACCTGTACAAACTGGCTGAAGAAGGTAGCAAAGATAGGTGACATATATCCACACGATCACAGACTTCGTCATACCGTTGACAGTTCAGCTTGACTTGATAAGCGCACCTTGAAAGATGTAAACTTGGGGAGGTTTGCATTGTCACAAATAACTTCCTGGACGACGACGAAATTGGAGGTTTAACGTCGGCTTCTGGCGTAAGCCAATTTCGCCGACGGGGTAGGTGGGAGCTAATATAATAAATAATAAATGTTAATAAAGGATAAACCACCTTACCCCAAAAAATATAAATGATGGGGCGTTAAACCTAAGTAGAATTTGGAATAAAAAGCGTTTAAAACATAGATAAAGATAAAAAATAATAAAAAGCCAAGTTTAATAAAGGAAAAGGAAATAAAAATTGATAAGGAATAGTGGTTGTTAATAAATAAGAGGTAGAATTGAAATAAACGATAGGTGAATGTAAAGGGGGCCTAGGGGTGGGTAACGCGGGAGGGGGACGGGGAGGGTTGTATTAAGAATGTAAAGCATAGGGGCAGATATTTAATGCAGTTAAGCTGCATAAGTTATATAAGGGGCTATAAAGGGATGAATAAATAACAGGTGTTAGGTTGGGGGTGGGTGGGGGTGGGGAGCAAGTGAGGCGAAGAGAGGCAGAGGCCGGGTTGAGGGACAAGCGGTGTTGTTTAGCTGGCTGGCGAGTGACCTTGACCTTGGCAGTGTGGGCTTGTGACGGGTTGTTTACATTTAGCGAGAGGGGAGAACGAGCGTGGCGTGTGCAGAGTATGGATAAATGAACATGGGAGCCGTGTCTGAAGTTGTAGGGGGGGCAGAGTGGATAATCGAGGTTTGAACGGCTGGCCTGAATGTTTGAGTAAGTGGGAGGTGAGAGAGGTAGCTGTAGTTTATATAATGAATTTTAGATTCTTTTTAGAAGGTTTGAATTTTGTAGGAATACTGTTAGGGCGTTGAAGATACTTGTTGGGTTGTGGGGGTTGAGGAGTAGTGGGATGCTATTGTGGTATTTAGAGGGAATGTTGTTTTGTAGTTGCTTAATGTTTGTCTTTTGTTGCTGGCAGTGTATGAGTTTGTGATTTATGTCTTCTTGGGTATTACAGTGTGTGCATAATCCATCTGGATGTCTGTTTTGTTTGTAAAATGTGTGGTTGAGGTTTGTGATGCCTGTGATGAGTCTGTTTATGGCTGTGTCAATATTTTTAATGTTTGAGAATGTGGGAATTTTTCTTAAGGGTGATTTAATAATGGAAGTAACCCATGTTGATTTGTTGTTGTTTATGTTGTGTTGGAAGTCAGTGTGAAGGATATTTGATTTTATGAGTTGTTTAGTTTCTGATTTGGATGTATGAAAGTTTATATTTGGTGATTTTTGTGTTGTTGCTAATTTGGCTGCTGTATCTGCTGTGTCGTTTCCTAATATGTTTGAATGGCCTGGTATCCAGGTGAAAGTTATGTTTTTATTTGCTCGTTTAAGTGAGTCGGTTTGGATTGTGATATTGTGAAGGAGATCAGGGCGAGATTTGGAGTACTTGTTATGTATTTGCCTGATGGAGTTTAGTGAGTCGGAGAGAATTAAGAAGTTAGATTGTGGGAGGGTGGGTATTAGATGGAGTGCAGTGAGGATAGCTGTTAGTTCTGCTGTGTGTATTGAGGTATGGTTTGTATAGTGCAGGTTGGTTGTAATGGGGGTTGTTGGACATGTAGGCCTATACCAGTTGTTTTGTTTGGGTTGATTGAAGCGTCTGTATATATATGGGTGTGTGTTGGGTAGTTATTGTTTATATAGTTGTTTGTAATGTTTGTTATGGTGGATTTGTTGGTGTTTTTTGGTAAATGCTGGAGAATGTTGTCTAAGGTGGTGTCTGTGGTGGGTGGGTGGGGGTATGTCGAGGATGTAGCTTGTAATGGGAGGTGTGTGTTGTATGTCGTTTAGCTGTTGTGCCTGTAGTAGTTTATGGAGGTGGGTGAGGCATGGAGCTTTTAGGGGATTTAATTTGAATTTCTTGAGTGTTGATTTTCTTATGTTGCTGTATTTATGTGTGACGAGTTTAAATAGTGGGTTATGTTGGGCCCCAGCCCAGTAAGTGAGTGTTCTTTGGTTGATTCTTTGTGTGAATGAAGTGGTGCCTGAGAGTAGAAGTAATGTGTTTAGGGAGGTGCCAGCCCTCGTGCCTAGGGCTAATTTGAGGGCTTTATATTGGATGGAGTTTATTTTTTGGAGGTTACAAGAGGAGAGGGAGTGGAGAATCGGGGCGTCGTAGTCCAGTTTTGGCAGTATGAGGGTTTTGTATATGTTGATGAGTGAGTGTTTGTCGGCACCCCAGTTTGTGCCTCTGATGGCTCTCATTAAGTTGAGATCTTTTTGACAAGAGTTGACCAGGTTGTGAATGTGGGGTGTCGATGTCATATGTTGGTCAAATGTTATTCCTAAGAATTTTGCTTCCTTTAGGTGTAGTTTGGGTGTTGAATTTTGCATTCGTTGTGTTTTGAAGAGTATGCCCACTGTTTTTTTAACGTTAATGAGAAACCCCCATTGTTGGGCCCAATTTTGAATATGATTAAGCATTTTTTTGCATTTTGTAGAGGCTTGTTTTACAGAAGTGGAGGAAGTCCAGAAAGAAATATCGTCAGCAAATTTGGCTTTAGAAATTTCAGGCCATTTATCTGGGAATATGTCGTTTATCATGAAATTAAAAAGTGTTGGTGATATTATGCTGCCCTGGGGGGTCCCATGTTCTAGGGGATGGGGGTCCGAGAGGGTGTTGTGCGATTTGAGGATTATCTGTCTATTATTGAGAAAAGAGTGAATGAAATTTAGAATTCTGCCGTTAATGGCATATTTTTGGAGTTTTTGTAAGAGGCCGTTTTGCCAAACCATATCAAATGCTTTACTAAAGTCGATGAAAATGGCCATAGTGTATTGTTTTTGTGCATGGGCTACCTTGATGTCTTGTTCCAAATGTAAAATATGGTCTAAAGTTTGCCTGTTTGGAGTAAAGCCGCTCTGGTCCTCCTTAATTAGATTTTTAGTATATATGAGGTGTTTGAGCCTGTTGTTAATGATGCTTTCTAAAGTTTTACATAGATGAGAGGTGAGGGAGATAGGGCTGATAAGAGTCAGGCTCATTTTAGGTTTCCCTGGTTTGAGAACTGGCACCACCTTGGCTATTTTCCATGTGTTTGGGATAGTACCTGAGGTCCAGATATGATTAAAGAGGGTAAGTGTTAAGTTTTGCATGTTAGGTGTTAATTTGTTCAGTATAGTGTATGTAATGGTATCTGGACCCGGGGCTGAGGCTGTGTGTTTGTTTCTGAGAGCAGATTTGAGTTCATGTATGTTTATTATTTTGTTTATAGGTAAATCTGTGTGTGGTGGTTGTGGGGTGAATGGGGGCTGCTTTTTCATGGTATTTTGAAAAGAAGGTGGGTAGTTGGTGGAGCTACTGACGGCCGAGAGGTGGGCAGCAAATGCATTTGCTCTGTCTTTATTTGTGGCTAGGTCCGGAAGGTTTGGGTAAATAGTTTTTTTGGAGATGCCCTTTATGGCGTTAAATTTTTTCCACATAGTTCTGGAGTTTCGACTTGTTAGCTTAAGGGTAGAACAGAATTGTTTCCAATGGTCATTTTTTGCTGCCTCTATTAATTTCTTTGTTTTATTTCTTAGTAGTTTTGCCAAATGTAATTTCGAACGGTCCCTCTTTGATTGATTAAGGGCCTTTTTTCTTGCCTTTCTGGCGTCGATGATTTCTGTACTCCACCAAGGGACTGTTTTTTGTGTAGGGTTATACCGAAAAGTTGGAATGCATTTTTTTGAGATGTCAAGTATGGTGCTAGTGAGGTTTGTGTTGAAAGTGTTTATGTCTGTGTTAAATATGGCTGTAGTGTCTATTTGTTTACAAAGTGTTGAGAATTTGCTCCAGTTTGCCTTTTTAATGTTGAGTCGTAGTTCTGTGTGTGGTTGTGGTGAGGTGGTAGTGGGTGTGGTGTGGGTGGGTATGTGTGATGTGATTGTGATTTTAATGGGGCAGTGGTCACTGCCCCAGGTGTCGAATGTGGACCTCCCATATACAAGATTGTGTAAGTTTAGGTGTAGTGAATGTAATATCTATTGCTGTGGGTGAGTATAGGTGGGAGAGTGGGTATCTTGTGGGTTGGTTGTCGTTAAGTGAGCTTAGATTGTGTTTGTCTAGCCAGTCGGAGAGACGAGTCCCATTTGTGTCGGTGAAAGGTCTAGTGCCCCACAGTGGATGGTGAGCATTGAAATCTCCGAGGATAATGGTATATGGGCTTATGAATTTGGATAGTATTTCTAAATCAGTAGTAGTGATTTTGTAGGTGGGTCTTCTATATACGTTTATGATGGTAAATTCTTTATTATTTAGTTTTGTTTTAATAGCCAGGACTTCTAGATCTTGGGTGGGGATGTCAAAAATGGTATAGTTTAAATGCTCTGTTATAAAGAAGCCCAGGCCTCCGGCAGGGGGGCCTGGGATATTTATTGGCCGAGGTCTATCTTTCCGAATGAAAATATAGCCTGGTATTTTGAAGGCATTTTTAGGTGATAGTTTGGTTTCTTGCAGAGCGATTATTTGGGGGGAGATTTTATTTTGGGCGATGAGTGCCTTAAGTTCATGCCCATGCACTCGGAGTCCGTTGCAATTCCACTGTAATAAAGCCATGGTTGCAGAAATTTGCAGCAGTAGATTAGTAAAGACCATGGGATGGGGCATAATTTGCAATAGGATGTTGTTGGCTAGGGCAGCTTAGTGGTTGATGAGATTTAAGATAGGTTTTTGATGGCGATAAGGAGGCTGGCTAGACCCTTGTGGTAGAGTTTGAGTTTGTGGGCGAGGGTGTGAAGTTTCTTAGCGGTGGGAGCTTTGAGTAGAATGGCTGCAGATATGAACTCTATGAGTTTGTTGAGGTTTTGATTTAATTTTTGTGGTGTGAGCGTGAGGTTGGGTTTGTGCGGGGGAGCAGTGTGTTTTTTGGCTGTGTGGAGGTGGGGTGGGATAGCTTGGGTGGAGGGTGGCTTGGGGGTGGTATTTGTAGGTGGGGGTTGGTTTGGGGGTGGTGGGGCAGTGTTTGGGCAGGGTTGGGGTGTGGGTAGGAGTGGTTGTTTAGGTTTGGTGGGTTTGTGCGTGGTTGGGTGGGTGCAGGGGGTAGTTTTGGTGGGTGGTGGGTGGGTAGGTTTGGCGGGGTTGGATGGAGCGTGTTTTGGGGGGTTTTGAGGTTGGAGGGGGACTGAGGATGGAGCTGGATGTGGTATTAGCAGAAGGGGTGGAGGAAGACACTGAGAGGAGAGAATGATATGCGAGTGGAATGCGTGCACGTTTTAGCAGGTCAGTGTGTTTTATTTGTTTGTTTAGTTTAAGAATGTGGTTTTGCTTGATTGGGCATGTATTTTGTGTTGAAGTGTGTCCGTATGTGTCGCAGTGGATGCAATATTTTTGCCATGGACATTTCCTGGTTAAACATCGCCTGAATATGTTGGCCATGCAATACAGAAGAATAGATTAGTATCAACACAATATAAGGGAGATAGTCTTGGGTGAGAGATAGTCCACCTAGAATTAATCCCACAGGACTTCTTGTCCAGGTTCACTCTAAAAACACGAAATACCCCAAAGCTCATTGAGCATGACGCTGTGTCTATTTTTGTAGCCGCGACATAACAATAAACGAAAGGAGCGGACCCGCCATGTAAAGGTTTCTCGAGCTAATATTCTGTTTAATCTGAATTTTAATATTTAACATGTATTAATTCTCCGTTCCACTACCAACTAACTAGTTATTTACAGCTCAACCTGATTTCGAGTGTAGTGTTCATTATGAACCAAGTGGGGCGATGTCATTCACCAGTTCTCACGTGTTAATGTTCACAGTGAGCGCAGTGATTGTCATCATTTACAGAGGGACTTGTACATGTAACCCCGATAAATGGCAATCGCCAGATATGTTCTTCTAAGAACATATTATTAAAACGTGATAAATATGTCATTGTTCGTTCAAACCAACTGTTCATACTAAAAACAGGGTTTGGTTCCTCTACAATGGTTACAATGTGGGAAGCATACCGTGATATTGCTGAAAGCGACATAAAACTATACTCACTCACTATTCGTAATTCACTGTTCCACGTTTGATATCAGTAGGACTCTTGACACAGTAAACTTTAATCCAAATAGGTATCCATTTGCTGTTGAGAGAGTAGGTACATGTTCCGTACAAATCACTTGCCACACAACGGTAAGACATGCATTCAGGTTGTCAACAAGGAAGTAAGTTCAGCGTTTGTGTAGGCTAGCTTGACGTCATACTCTGTGTAACACTGTCGCCTAACTGATATTTGTCCTCGACGTTCCACGGAAGTCCTCGGCGTGATTCTTTGTTACTAGATATGTACATTACCTCATTAAATGTCCGTGCTGGTAACTTTAATAATATAGGAAAATACTGTCACACCGCTCGAATTCCACTGGCAGCTGTGATATACGTATACCACTTGTAATGACAGTGTTGACTCGGATAGGTCATACTGGATGGTATTCACTGGGACGTTATTTACAAACATGCACTTATTACGCATGCAACAGGCACCTACCAGAAACTCAACGTTTTCAGCATTTGTACATCTTTGTTGATGATTGCCATAGGACGTTTAGATGTATGTTCATAAAATTATTCAACATGAACTTTGTATCCCTTTCACTCTGTTTTTGTCTATCTACATATAGTCAAACACCGTTGTGTTGAACTGACGGTTGTCTCGAAATATGTCTTGCACGATGTGTATTGCTTCTGTATTTTTCAGCATATAATTACTGCTTTGTTGAGGATTGGCATAGGACGTTTAGAAATATGTTCATAATCGTTCAACAAGAACTTTGTATCATTTACACTCTGATGTTGTATATCTACATATAGTCTAACACCGTTGTGTCGACCTGATGGTTGTCTCGAAATATTTCATTCACGATATATGTTGCTACTCTAGTTGTCCGTTACACTTGCCGTGTTTTACTGCACAAATGTTACATTGATAAAATGGACAATAATGAAATTATTACACTCGAGCAATTGTGCCATACGACTTATACGAAAATGGTGCAAAATTATGTACTACCCTCGCTCGGGCAATACAAAATTTCACACTTGTTTCGTTTAAGTCATATGACACACTTGCTCGTGTAACCATCTCTGTGTATTACAGATGATGTCGTTATTACAGTTCACCGTTCATGTAATAAACAAGACTGAAGATCATTAATATGTACAAACTTCCACTTCGTCTTCTTACAACAGCTTTAACGTCGTGTTCATTCTCATTACTTCGGAACATATATG